CGTACAAAATTCCAAGGAGCACCTTGAGTACTGTCCTGAAGAACAAGGCAGACATCAGGGCCAAGTCGGACAAAAGGCCAGATGCCCGTGGCGCCTGATGTGTGTGCGCTGCTGTGTACGAAGATGTTGAACAGCCGTTTACAAAGGGTTTGTGGACGTTCGGTCACGAAACATCCCCGTGTCCGGCCCTATGATTGAGCAGAAAGCCAAGGACCTTGCTTTTCTGCTTGCCAGGAATGATTTCCAAGGCAGTTCAGGCTGGCTTCAGCGGTTAAAAGAACGGCACGACATCGTTGGCAATGCTGTTACAGGTGGTAGCAGAGTGGCAGACCTAGACAGCGTAGAAAAATGGCTCAAGGAAAACTGGCAAGATATCGCAGCAAGATATAGAGCCCAAGATATCTTCAATGCGGATGAAACCGCTCTATTTTGGCAAATGTTGCCAAACAAGACATTTGCGTCTTGTGGCGACAAGACAAGCAGCGGCAAGGCAAACAAAGCTCGTGTGTCGTGCTGTTGGCAGCTAATTTAGCCGGATCGAAAAAGCTTCGACCTCTGGTTATCGGGAAAAGCACGGCACCGCGGTGTTTTCGAAATGTGCTGTCGCTTCCAGTTACCTACCGAGCAAACTCAAAAGCGTGGATGACCGGGGAGCTTTTTAGCAGATGGCTATCGTTGTGGAATGATGACTTGGTAGGCGAAAATCGCAAGGTGTGCTTGCTCGTGGACAATTGTTCATCGCACCACTGCAGTACGACCATCAGCAACATCGATCTGCGTTTTTTGCCCCCGAACACTACGTCTGTACTGCAACCACTGGATCAAGGCGTTATACACGCAATGAAAGCCGGCTATCGGAAGCGCCTGGTAGAGAGGCTGCTGCAGAACCTTCGTGTCGACAGGGAGCTTAAAATCGACTTGCTCGGAGCTATTTTTATGTTGAGTAGATCGTGGGCAGATGTCAAGGAGACAATCCAGAGCTGCTTTAGGCATGCCGGCTTCCGCATGCCTGGTGATGACACCCCAAATTCTGACAGCACTGAAGACACCGCAGGTGTTTCCGCCAAAGTTTGAAACGAGCTGGCAGAGTTCCCGGGTGCTATCGACGGATTGACATTCGACGAGTTCGTCAGTGCGGACGATAATGTCCCCATCATGGGCCAATTACAGGATGAGGATTACATTGCAGACATCGTGCCGACCACGAGTCAAAGCGACAGCAATATGGAAATTGACGACGGCCCATTGCCTACATCCTCCGAAGTGATTAGCGCACTTGCGTTAGTCCGGCACTATTGCTTGAATGTGGAAGGTTGCAGCCTCAGCTGCTCCGACTCGTTGGACAACATGGAGGCGCGTGTGCTGTCGCAGGCAGCGAAGTCGTTGACACAGAAAAAAATCCGGGACTATTTTGTTCCACAGTAGGGCACGCAAGTAAGCCACCATATTAATAAAGTACTTTTCTTCTAGTTTGTTATGTTTCTTTGTGTCAAAACCTATACCGGGCCTATATCGAATTATGTCATATATCGAACTAATAAATGTTTTTTGGCGAGTTCGATATACCCGGGTTCGACTGTATTCATTAAAGTACTTATTAAATTTAAATCACTGGCAGAGGTGTTCGACCTGTAGTTGAAAGGACTGAAGGGAAATGAGAGGTCAAATGCACAGCTCATACTATAACTTACTGAGTATTGACAATGGCCACCTCAGAAGATTTCAAAATCATAATGCCTTGTAAAAATTGTAACCCTACAATTGCAATTGCTAGGAACTTGCTCTCCCATCGGCATTTTGCCCAACAAAAAGATTTCCCATGAACATCTAACTGGAGAAGAGGACGTCAGTCGGAGAAAAGTTCTAACTGGGGTTTATCCCCACATAAAAAGATCACAAACGTCCTATTGTGGTTCTAACTCTTGGTGCGGTGGAAGTCTTGCATTATATACCACATTAGTACATGGGGCTGCTCAGAGCAGCCCCAATGCCTGAAGGACTCGTAAATAGCACCAACACACAAGTTGGTGCAGCATGGTGTGGTTAGTGTGGCCAGCTAGCATGTGCTGATATACAAGCTTGGATTTCTTGAGCACTCCCAATCGACATTGTGGCCTCCTTTATTTGGTAGATCAGCATACTTGCCAAAGTCTTCTAGATTTTGACCAGTTCGTATGTTTATGCGGTTCTCAGGAAAATCTCCTGGAAATTGAAATTTCTGTGCGTGAGCTGGCCACATTTACAAAAATGCACCCCAATCCAATCCAGGCTTTTTGCGAACCCATCGCATTTTATTGTGAACGAATTTAGGAGGTGTTCTTCTGAACATAAAGTAGAATCTCATTGATGGAAAATCAGCAGATATAAGAACTCGCGATATTTTCCAGCCAAGTCCCCCTATGTCCATTGGGCCAAAACTTGACCAGTTAAAGCAACGTTGCGTTCCACAAACGCTGCAAACAAAATTGCGGCAGATGCAATCATAGATAGCAAAAAATGACATGGTTTTTGAGGTACATGGGCAGCCAGCGCTCGGGGATTGAAAACGAAACTACTGGTTTTTGAAGCCGCCACATGTGAAACCGCGATTGTGGACGCAGTTAACACAGCGGTAAAGGCGATAAAGATGTAAAAAATGCTAAAAGCGTTTGGTGTTTCTTTTCAAAGAATAAGTAACGTTGTTTCTGTCGATTGTCACAGGTCCCGTTAATTAGGGGGCGATTGCTGGGCTAATTCCAAGGGCCGAAGTATCGGCTCGCCGAACTGCACCACGAAAGCACGGACAATTTATTAGTGGTGCTATTTGGCACCCCAGCGGATGCAGGCTGTGGCCCAAAGAACAAGTCAGAGCCGAGAGTTGATAAAGAAAACAAAATTATATTCTCAAATATGGTAGATCAAACTGTACATCAATATGCACACTCGACAATAGTTCAGTGCAATATGTCACCAATCAAGCAATGTACTACACAGTACAATCAGCTACACTCGAAACAACGGACACAAACAACAATAAGCACTACGATGCAATCACATGCATCAAACAACCAAGACAGTGAAAGACTAACGAGTTTAAAAACTTATTGAGTCCAAAGTCCTTGGAACAAAGTCTGAATGATAAGTCCAGTGCTGTTGTCGAGCCGCTGTCCCCGAAGTTTCTCTTCCAGGAAACCTCGGGTCTTCGATTGGCCGCTCTCCAAGCACCAAGCTTCTTCATTGGTAACACATCGACTTCCCACGCGTTGCGATTGCAGGATGCGTCTTCGTTCTCAGGTGGTAGACTCACACTATTCTTCTGCTGGTAGCACCAGCCTTCACCCTTCAGGTGGAAATCCTCTTCATTACCTGCTTTGTCACTGAGCACAGAAGCCTTTGCCGACACGGCGGAATGACCCTACGCACACTTGCCCAAAACTTTCATCTCCTGCCTATGCACACGGGCGCAAACTTTCTTCTTCTCCTGATCTCCTTTCTCCGCTGCTCGCTTAAATACCTTTCGCGCTAGATTCCAGAAAATTCTAATTGTTTCGTCGGCGCGATGAACATTCAAGGCTGGTGAAAGAGCGAGATGTTTCGAGGACCGTCCGCGACACGTGACACAACTCTACATCACCACGCCCCTTTCCTTCCAGATCTTTCCAGGGCTTGCTCGGCGGCTGATGTGAGGAGGTTGGTCGACGAAACTACGTTTCTGAGGGGGAGAGAGGGCGTGCCCAGGGAGTTTTTGGATGCTTGTTTTCTTCTTTAGCATTGACCTTGAGGCGTCTCTTGGCGCTTGGTCTCCAGAGCTCGGCAGCGCGCTCTTTTTTGAGCGCCCGTTTTTGACATCGATCTGGGTGCTTTTGCTGTACTTAGACATTAAGTTTTCATTTTGTCTTAAGTGAAACTTCGACCCGCGCTTTCCCGGCAAATGGCTGCATCGTCCCATCCGTTCGCGTGTGTCCCAGGAAGACATACACGAGTTCTTTCAACAGAAATAGATTTTGCTAGTTGTTTTGATGTTGGAAATTTTGTGCCATACAAGCAGTATGTTAGCTCCCTTTTGAGACTCGCACTTTTTATTGTATTTAGGAAACCCTACCCTCGGGTGTTCATCCACTCTAAGTCAGTATGAGACCGCGCAACGCCAATGTTCACCGCCCCGCCCCTCTCCCCTCGTTTTTTTGCGAGATTTTTTTTTTTTTGCTGCAAAATAGAAAGGAGGAAACAAATCAGCCCGACACCCCCTCCCCCTCTTCCCATTGCGGAAATCTTCCAGATTCAGAATCTTTGAACTTGACAGGTATGGATTGGAATCGACCTGACCAACTCTCCATTTCTGAACAGTAGCTTAGCGTGTGTTAATATGGTTTTGTTTCCGAAAACTGCATGGGGAATAAAGTTCTACAGCGTCGAATCATGAACAGTCAGAGTGAGAGGCTCTTAATGCTCTTCGTTGCTGGTGAGCGGGGAAGCTAGTGATGCTAAAGGGAGCTAAAGTGCAGACTAGACACGTTTGTTATAAGTGCAGTATGCATGTACTATATAAGTGCAATAAAAATGAGTCAATTTTGAAAAATGTAGAGCAAAAAATTTTCAACATTGTGTGCTGCTTTTAGTCCTTGAAAAACCTGTGACAGGTCCTGGAAAGTGCTTGAATATTCTTGAATTTTCACTTTGAAAACCTGTGCAAACACTGTCCTTCCTACAAAAAATTAACTTATGCATCATTCAACCTTTTTTGTTCAGTTCTTTATGTGTTAAAAGAAATGACCGTGGCTTCTAAGAATATTTACAAAAGATCCTTTTTTTGCTTTTTTTGTCTTCTTTAGTGAAAGGCACACTTAAATATGGCACTTTTTGACTAGTACTTTTACATAATAAATTTATGATGCAAGAAGTGCTACAGAACCCACAATTTCTTGAGTATCTGTTGTATTTTGGTTGTATAGTAGTACATTTAGATATGCAAGTGACAGCTATGCAACTTAACTGTTGTTTTTTTGGTATTTGTCCTTTAGCTGTGCGACTGGTAAAAATTCGAGGAGAAGCAATGCAAGCAGCCTCTGAAATGGTACCCAGTGGCTTGATGACTGTCTTCCTGCTGACAACGGCCAAAGCAAGCTTTATATGCAAGCTTGCCAAGGAGTGGTGCATTCGCAAGGGCATCGAAGACCCAATATGTAGTGTGGCGAACTATTTGTTCCCTCATTGCAAGGTCATTGGAGGGCATGAGGAGGCAAGTACTGCACATTGTCGGCTGAATGGTGTACAAATTGCCTTAGACTAGAAAATATTGAAAAATTGACCAGTCCGTATAGATAGACCCAGTGCCTCATGTGCATCACAGTACTAGAACTGGCTCGAATGCATAATAAGTATCAGTGAAGCATTAGCTGTAAAATTATCAATGAAACTGCACTATGATAAATAGCTTTTCATATTGCCATTCACTTAATGTCAAAGAAAATACTTGAGATCAGTGCTCCGCATACCATATTCAGTGTATGGACCGAAAGTAATTATTTGTTCCATAAAACAAATGCATCTATCATTAGTGCAAAAGTGAAATGCAGAGGATGTTATATATATGTATTCTAAATTTTAGGCTTGTGCGAATAGTAAATTTTAGGTTCGAAGCGAATAGTGATTTTGGTCAAATAATTTCGAATCGAATTCAAATAGTATATATGACTCTTAAAGAAAAATGTGCATATTTATCATCACCAAACTAACCTGCACAATATATTTTTTTTAAATTGAAATAGGGCCTCTATGCAAATGCCATTTCTTTTTTTGTTCAATAGAAGTCGAAACAACTTTGAGTAGTAACAGGATTTGACTTTCAGCAAGATACGAGGCATAACCCTTCCAATACGTAGCATTTCAAAATTTATTATACTTGAAGCATATAAGCCGTCATAACGACCTTTTAAGCTTAATAAAATGAATTGATTTGAATATTTTTATTTAAAGGGGCCGTCTGACTTTCAAGTAGCCATGGAATGGATTCACTAAAGAAGCTTATTGCCTCATGAATTCACTGCTGCAAACATTTTTAGAATTCATCAAGTATGCGCGGAGTTGCAAAAATTTCTCGCACGCTGCAGGTGCATTTTCTCTTCTTGTCCTGACGAAAACTCTGGAAGCTTAGCAGAAAGGGATGGCACGGGAAAAGAAAATATGTCATGCGTGCTTTCTGATTTTGTGGAGTCATTTGCCGAAAGAACAAAGCAATTTTCAGCTGACTTTGAGAATTTATTGTGAATCGCACGTTGCGTGCTGCGCTATAATATTTGGCTTGCGTGTCCTCGGTAGCCTTGACTACCGATCAGCAGCATTTTTTGACAATGCTCAAAAAGTGTTACAGGACTCCTATAAATTTGTAGGGGGGCTTTGCGGCAGAGCGGATTTTTTTTGGATAGGTGCTCTCACGGTTCAGCACCCTTACAATGCAGTAAAACTACCTTTAAAGGTGGTACATTCAGATTATTATGTATCATTTGTTCCTTGTGAATACTTTGAAATTTTCAATATAATTTAAATTAGAATCAAAGTAAATTCTAATACCCTACTATTCGTTCGAATATTCGAAGCATTCGAATGTTTGCACAAGCCTACTAAATTTTTTTACATGTAGCGAAGGGGTTCTTGAATCCCTATGGGTAGGGCTGACCCGGCACTCTAGAGCTTGACAAGGGGTAGAAAAGGCCCAGGCAGAGATAAGGTAGTATAATGAATAAGATTTTTAATTACATTGCTATATAAAGAACGGTCATAAGCAAGCTGCTCGATGAAGAGTGATAGCGGAGGCTCAATAACCTAAGCTGTATGCTGTATAGATTAGATCCAATGCACACTATTTAAATTGCCCAAGGAACATTCCCACCCAGGAGAAGCAGAGAATGAATGCTGTGCATTGCTATTTACCAGGGATCAGAGCTGCTTGAATATTATCATTTGAATCATGCAGAAGGGAAGAAATCTCTGCTTGCAGTGTTAATGTGCACTCAAGCACCAGTGCCTGTGGTTACACTTGTCTTTAGCTTGCATGATGCAAAACTTTTATTACAGAGATCAGGAGTATGAAGCAAAACTGCTAGCTGACCTAGTTGGAACAAAGTAATCTCTTAGCCACTTCGTGTGAAACAAGCAAAAACGAAATTTGTTCATACTCCTTTCTTCATCCTTGTTTGTCTTCCGCAAAGTGGCTAAAACATGGCCTAGTCTAATTCAATTGCCTGTACCGATCGCCTTTGCAGGTTTGAAAGTGAGCATGAATGTACTCAGTATGTGTCCAAGGGCCGTTGAATCAATAGTGCAGCCTAAAAGAGTAGTTGTTAAATGGTGATTGAGCTGATCTTGTACTTATCATGATCTTCGGTCTAACATGACTACATGCTTCTGTACACTGAATGCATTTCCTCGTTCATGCAGGCACTGAAGTTCATAGAGTTGAATGCCCGTGATCTTGGCATAAAAAAGATGAAGCGATTGCCTGTGAGTGGAGCATTTCACACTGCACTTATGAAACCGGCTCGTGCACCTCTGGCCAAAGCTCTGCAGGCCGTGCACATCAATGCGCCACGCATAATGACCCACTCCAACCTTGACGGAATGGCCTACCGCAACGCGGATGAAATACGCCGAAAGTTAGAGGAGCAAATGGTCAGTCTTGGTTCATGTGTTCATTCTCTGCAATGTGCAAGCTGCTATCGTTATTATACTAAGCAAGCAACCCCCCCCCCCCCCCAAGGCAAAATATAATCGGACATTATTTTTGGGGGGGGGGGGGGGGGGGAGAGAGAGGTCTTGCTCGGTCGCGCACCAGTATTCAAGATGGTGGTAAAGCAGACTCTGAGAAGAATGCACACCTGTGCCTCTAATGAAATGTTTTACATACGCTTGATTTCCTCTTTTTGCTCAACTTGGAGGAATCTTGATGTGAAGTTTCATTTGTTATGCAAAGGGGGAAAGACTTTTACATGTTGTGACAAATTGTGATAACTCGGAATGCAACCCTGGAGCACCACAATGTAAGAGTTCTGGAAAGTCAGATGGATGGCTGGGCAATTTGGTAACACATCTCAGATAATTGGTACGCAAAAGAAAGGTAAGTATCACAAGAGGAAAGAACACGGACGTGCTGCAAAATATGAACTCAGAATTTATTGAAACAAACGTATGTATGCTAGTTAGTTGAACTAGTACTAAAACAACTTGTAATGTGCTTCCAGGAAAGCGGTAACTCTTGACCAAGTAACGTGACTGTGAGGGTTTTGCATCACGAGTAACCCACTTTATTAATGAGGTATGCTTCTTCAGTTTCGCGTGCTACCCTATCTGACGGTGCATTCCAGGTTCAAAGAAGCGCATCACTGAATTAACCTTTGCCTGCTCATAGTTTTTGACATGTCCTCATCTAACCACGCATGTATATACTATTAGTTTCAATAAATTCTGAGTTGATAGTTTGTGCCGTGTCTGTTTCTTCCCCTTGTTCGCTCATGGTAAGATGATTGGAGGTACTGTTTTTTAGCACGCCACCGATATAATACTTGTGCACATATCTAAAGACTCTCGGAACCTGTCCTCCTAGCTACCGCTGCTGCAGGATACTGTAGCAAAGAGCAGGTTGAAAAAAGTGGTGGTAGGAGTGGGGCACCGCCTCTGTCATTGGCGGTGCGTATTTCAGTATACCTAAAAGAATACTGCGGCACTCACTCGGGTAGGGGGGCTTGCTCTAGATTTTGCGGTATGACTTGGGAAGTGGGTTATTGTAATTTTGATGGGCTGAAATATTTTCCTCTGTCAAACTGTTTATATAGAATTGGCAAGGTCACACATCCCTTAGCCTGGTGTAACTTCCTTTTTTAGTTTAAGTACACTCTAAAGTCTGAACCTGATAAAGCGGACCTCAATATAAAAAATTGGGCAGATCCCACGTATCTTGGGAATTTATGTAACGCGAAGCATGTGGAGAGAAGGTGACTGTGTTGTAAATATTTATTTAACGAAACGTTACGAAATGGCACTAAAGATATGTGCAAATGTATGTGCAGACGTATGTTAAGCAGTCGCATGTTTGCTGTTGCGTAACGATGCGAACAGCAACGTGGATCTGTAAAGTGTAAAATGCTGATCTGTAGTGCTTCTGCCTGCGAGGATGGCGTCCCTGGACATGGCTAAATAAATGAGCTTCAGTGGATGGCGCCTCACTATAATTGTTGCTAACTCAATGTGACAACTACGTAATTACTCGAATCTAACACGCACCTTTTTTCCGGTTAAGCGAGTTCATAAATCGCATGCGCGTTAGAATCGAGTACGAACAAAAAAATTACGGTCAATCTATTGCCATCGGCAAATCCAAAATGGCCGCCCCCTACGTGCGTCGGCATGGCGCGTCGGCCATTTCTGCCTATGTGTTTCCCATGTGCGGCACTTCGTACGTGTGCTGAGGAGTTCGTCATCTGGTAGTGCATTAGCATCGACAGCTTGGAAGGGCCGACTCCAAAAACTCGAGTGCACCACGATGCCGCTTTTAAGAGAAAAGTCATCGCGTGTGCAGAAACGGACGGAAATCAGGCCGCTTCGCAGTCGTTCGGAGTTCCCGAAACGTGCGTGCGGGACCGGCGGAAACAAAAGCAGAAGATTGTCAACAGCAAAGCTTTACGCGAAGGCTTCAGTGGACCACAACAGGGTCCGTTTCCGCAAATTAAAGAGCTGCTCGGCGAGTATGTGCTTGAGCAGCGAACGGCACAGCGGCCCGTGACGACAGAACTGCTCCAAGTGCGGGCTATGCAATTAGTCTTAGAAAAAGGTCTAATTTGGAGCCAGTTTAAAGCGAGCAGGTGCTGGCAAACTAACTTTATGAAGAGGAAAGGCTTTTCCCTCCGAAGGGGAACATGCATATGCGAAAACTTTTGCGGAGGAGTACGATGAAAAGCTTCAGTTTTCAGAGGTTCGTCCTAAACTTGCGGCGCAACAACGGCTACCTGCTTGGGCAAATCGGGAATGCCGATCAGACGCCTCTTTACTTCGACATGCCTGGCACCACAACCGTCGAGAAGAAGGGGGCGAAGCAAGTTCGCGTGCTGACATCGGTCCACGGTAAAACTACAGTGACGGCAATGCTCTGTTACACGTCAGATGGGCACAAGGTTCGCCCGTACCTCATATTTAAATGGAAGACGCTCCCGAAAGGAGTCGTTTTTCGGACCAGCGAGAAAAATGGGTGCGCGTTGCAATCGATGTCTTACTTTTTTTTTTTTTTCGCGGTGGAAATCGGGTGCGCGTTACAATCGAGGGCGCGATAGAATCGAGTAAATACGGTATGTGATAGTTCTAGTACTGTTAAATAGGATTGGATAGCCAGCACTTCAATCACAATTGGCATTTCACAAACATTGTGGTCTACTTGAAAAGCAGTTCTGAGACCTGGCATGGCTCTGTGGTGAAATTCTTGTTTGCCATGCAGAATTCTGGGGTTCTATTCCTGCTGGGATTATGATATTTATTCTATAAGTTTGTTAGGTCAGCGCTGCCAATGCCAGCTTTTATCGGCAAAGCTCATTAGGGTCGACCTAGTTGGCCTTTATCATGCCCCACAAAACCCAAAGCAACATTTAACACCTGCACAAGAAAAAACTAAAACATATGTGGAAACAACAGACATTATGTGTAATCAACTGTACGACAGCATAATACGTGGTCACCCACGCTGTCTGTCTGGCCATCCGTTCATGCATCTGTGTGTCCATCCTTAAGTTCATTCATCGACTTGTCTGTCCATCCATGCATCCCTCCGTTCGTCCATCCATACATCCACCTGTCCGTCCTTTATACTAGTTGGCAACTTTAACATAGACGTTGTGGACCTTAAGACACATTGCTTTGCTCACTCGTCATTCACTTCATGGAGATGCACCGATTTTTCTTAACACTCTCGCATTGAAAAAATTACTAATGTCTGTTCGTACCGTTTCTTGGTTGATATAAACTGTCAATCACCTTTAGTGCATTACGCTTGACTACAGTTAATCTTAGCCTGACAGGATGGCTGTATCGTAATAGCAGATATGTAATGTTTATAAAATTAAATATCAATCACTGCATCCCCAATAGACCCTTCACGAACATTATGGTCTTCTTGAAAAGTGGTTGCAAAACCTGGCGTGGCTCTGTGGTAGAATACTTGGTTGCCATGCAGAATACTGGCGTTTGATTCCTGCTGGGAACCTGGCATTTTTTCTTTACAGTCAGTGGGTCAGCACAGCTGATCTAAATGCTCATGTGTTAACCTTACCCATTAGTGTTCTTGCCGTTCCTGGGTAGATATGAAGTGTCAATCACATCTGGTACATACCCGCTTACCAGAGGCACATACCTGCCCACGGGTATGTGCCACTATCTGGCAGAAAATGTGACTACATACGTCACAAGACTGACATTATTCATGTCATGACCAGCGAGTCTTATTGGTCAAACCATCGTACCCTCCCATACTAGTTTTGGTTTACCCCAAGTAAAGGGGGTGTTCACGAGAGCTCCCAAACGTAGGCGGCTAGACAGACAGACACATAGACAGACACAGGCAGACACCAAAAATACTCGCAGTATGCAAAGAAATGCTTCGCATTTAACAAAGTTAGCTCACTTGTTTCATTGCTGTTTCTTGCTGTCACTTTCTGTTTAAAAAAATAGTTTTGTTGTGCAGTTTTGGTGCAGTGAAGTTTTCACGAGAACAAAAATAAATTTGGGTGATTTATACCAACATAAAAATCTTTAAGGTGCTTGCTGTATAGGCAAGATGGGTATGAGAAAAATATTTTCCTTTCTCTAGCATCCCATATTTACTTGTCTTTGAATAGGACTAGTTCTATACTCTCGCATGATACAGAAAGCAAGCAAAACCAGTTGTGGCATTATTGTGTGGTGTTCCTTTCCGTGTATGCTTATTCACATCAGCCCTCAATTTGCATGTTGTGCTTAATATGGTTACTTGATGTCATTTATGGGCAGTGGTTTCCAAGATCTGTTTTTGTATTTGTTGAACGTGCCCAATTCTTAGGAATCGCTGAAGTCTCTTACAAAGCTCCCAATGTCTCGTCAGTAACTGTGCTATGCTCGTCACTTGTTTTGCTTGGTGTTGCTTATAATATCTTTACAAACGCATGTGTACTTAATGAAGTGGACTGGAAAGGCTTTAAAAGCATGTGCAACACATACTAACACATATTCAATGAATAAAAAGACAAGTTTGCTGCAGATATTTGTCGCTACTTTTATTTTTCTTTTCCACTGCTGTGCTGCAATCCTTTCTGTTCTGCTCAAGATTGTGCTGCTATGTTTTGTTGTTTTTACTGTCAGGCTCCTGGTGTGGTGCTTTAAAATTAAAAGGCCCTTGAATGGCTGTGCAAAAGATTGTTGTGTACTGCAAGAAAAATGTTTTACATAGAGAAAATGTGGAGCCACAGCCTTTTCAGGTGACGTGAGTGTTGCCAGATACTAGCCACATTATTATACCTACAATACATACCTTTGCCAAGCATGCTACATAATTTTTTTCCCCTTTTGCAACTTGCCCTCAGCGTGCCAGGTGGTGACATGTTTCCACTGCTGGTGTCTCGCAAATCTTGCCAGCACAATAAATATTTTCTCTATGGCCATTACAGTGTGAAAATTGAGGCTATAATTGCGTGCTGGTCGTAAATCTAGAAAATGTCATAGTGTTTCCTCTGGGGCAAAGCAATCAGCAGGGTAGCAATAAATTTGGATGATATACGAAATTAGGCTTGTGGTTTACTCCTTGAGCATCCAACTTGGCATCACTGAAAAAAAAAAAAATTCTAGCATAAGGAGTGCTAGTAAATGCAACTGCTGAAGCATGGAAAGCGAAGTTCACACTGTATTGCTTCAACGCAAGTAGTGGTGAGCACACAGCACATGCAAAGGTATGAGTCATCTGCTGATCTTTATCATAATGGGGCATGACCTCACCCGGCGTATCAATGTGCAACTCGGCCTATCGACACCAGTGGCAACTGCATAAATACACCAGAAATGCCCATAAAAATGCAGTCGTAATAAAGGTGCAAAAAGTGGGCGTTGCATGTCCTTTTTCTAGCATGCAGTTGTTTTAAAGAAAGGTCTGTGTGTGCATAATACCATGCTGTGCCTAATTTTTTCTCTTTAGAACAACCTGTGGCACTGTATTCAAAGTGCTTCATACACACTTCACATATGCACTCAATGCACACTGATAGGTAAAATATTGAAGGAGTAGTATTTAGGTTCCTATTCCGTAGGCATGCTTCACTTGCTAGTTTACTGGAATGATAGTTTGAGGTAGATGGCAGAAATTGCTTAGTCTTAAGTATCATGGTTATTATGGATCCTTGCGCCAGGCCGTATATATTTTCATGAAAAATGTTACTCTTTTGATGCAGCTTTAACATTTCTATTATTATAGCTTTGTTATTTCTATTATTATAATTGGAAAAATATTACTGTTCATTTTTATCTGTGGTGTTGAACAGCTTTTTTTTTGCTTTTGTTTGTACTTTGGTTACAGATGATGCCAGTCAAGTGGGAACAACTTATTCAAGTGGTTTATAGTCGAGAAGTTGGTGAAGAGTTCCCTCGTACTTTTGAATGTGGCCCTGGTACCACACTGAGAGCTGTGCTCAAGAATGTGAATGGCAAGGCTTGGAATGTCTCCGAAAGTATCAGTGCTTGACTGGTTTCTATCCCTGTTTCCTTCAGACACTATATACTGTAATATATTTTGTGCCACTCCAGTTTCTATTTTTTTTTTATCCCAATATTTTTATATGTTATACGGTGCCAGAAAAGTTTTTTTTTTCCTCAGATGTTACATGCTTCCTAGCACTGTATTTGTAAAGATGGCTTAAATATTTCCTTGACATTAGCTCTGAATCATCTCGTGGTGACATGTTGTCCTTACCTAGAATTTACTTTTTGATAAGTAGCAGGGGTGGTGCCAGGGAGGGTTGGGGAGGCAGGGGGTGCTTCTGACCTAAAATTTAAACTTGCCTCCTTCTCTGCCCCAGCTCCAGAAAGCTGACCATATGGCTAGCTCTTTCAGGGGGGCCCTGTCCCAATGAAAGCCCTTCCTCAGTGTAGCTGCCCTTGTATGTATGATGGGGATGATTCTACCGATAAAGTGAATATGCATCAGTAAACTGTTTTGCTTGTCTATTTTTTTACAAATGTGCCTAGAAGTAAAGTTAAATGTGTGTCTGTGTGGAGTGTTCAGAACCTTACAGGGGTATTTTACTTTAATACCATATTTACTTGAATGTAACGCTAGTTTTTTTCCAGATTTTTGCTACCTACAGTTGACCCTCGCGTTACATCCTAGACACACTGACCCTCACATTATAATTTGTGGTCGTGTTACAGTCGAGTAAATACGGTGCATTGCCGTGTTGCGTGCTTAGTAGCAAAACAGTATGTTGTAGTTCTGTGCATAGTTCTGTACATTTTGGTATTATAAACATTAGCAACCGCATTGTTCCCAGGCTCTTTTTGTGGCTCGTTAGTGCTACCGTTGGAAATTTTTCATGGGCAACTCCATGCACCGTATGAAATTAAGAGAACTTATTTTGGCTTTATTTGGAACATTACTGTCATCAAGGTTGACCACCAATGCTTCTCGTTGACTGATTGATATGTGGGGTTTAACGTACCAAAACTACCATATGATTAGGAGAGACGCCGTTGTAGAGGGCTCTGGAAATTTTGACAACCTGTAGTTCTTAAAGGTGCACCCAAATCTGAGCACACAGGCCTACATCAAAATGCAGCCACCGCAGCCGGGATTCCATCCCGTGACCTGAGGGTCAGCAGCCAAGTACCTTAGCCACTACACCACAGCTGCAGGTTTGGCAGTAGTGCTTATCGCCATTCTACAATCAAACAATGCAATATGTGCAATTTTACAGCAAAAGCTGTTGTGAAATTGGAACACATGTCACGTGCAGCGCCGTAGTTGTCCGCCGCTGCTGGTGTCCCATAACTAGTATCGCAAGGAATAAGAAAAAGAACTCAGTAAATAACACCAAGGATACTGTAGAATTCGAACCCGGGTCCACTGTGTGCCAGCCCAGTATTCTACCACTGAGCCACGCCGGTGCTTGGAACTAGTTTCTAAACTGGCCTTTAGCAGGCTTGATATCGGGAAAGGAATCACATTAATGAGTAATAAAGCATTTTAGAACATCAAAGGAACAGCCAGGTGTCACACAATGCGAATTGCATTACGAGCGAGTTGTCCAATGCTTCAACCCATTAGAAAACTTGTTCTTGATCACCTATCAACTGTGGTGCATACCCACTTCAGGCATAATTCTTCGTCACCCTCTGCATAAAAAAATTGCACAAAAATCCTTTGAAGAATTACTAAGGACGGCAAAGTGAATGCTGGCCTACTACACAAAAATTAGCAATTACCCAAGTGTTTAGAAACGGCTCTGAAAGGCCGCTCTACCAGCTTTCGCTGTGACTCTGCTGTACGTTCTGGGCAGGCCTGGTGTTTTTTTCAGGGGCGAACCTCCGTATGGTCTAGGGCAGTTCATCCCTCTGGTATAGCCAGCACAGCATATCCACAGATAGACAGACGGATGGACTCTTCGCCCCACTCATCATCTCTGTTTGTATGCTGTCAATCTTTTTTTGACTCAGCAGATTCATTTTTTACATGTGCAAAGGATGACATGAAAGCATCTGCAGGATTGTATAATTTTTCATTGCAGCATCTATGCCGATTTATTGATGCCTCAAAGGCTGGTAAATGCTTGGGAGTGCCCTTTGTTTTTGTTTTTTTTTTGTTTTTTTTCCTGTAGCCGTCACCGATGTCTTTATTCATAATATAAGTAACGAAGAAAGCATATAAAGGTCTCATCATCCGTTCAAAAGGCACAACTAAGCCCACTTGCATCTAGGGAGAAATGCATTGAGCATGACTGACATCGTTGAGCTAATTATCAGGGATTCAACATTTCCTGCAGAAAGTGTAAGGTGGATGATGAATGTTTTCCAACCTAACAACTGCTGCCCCATAATCCTGAATAATGCAGAAAGGAGCCCGGTATTTGCTGTGAATATTCGGAGCGAATGCTCCCTGTGAAGAAAGCCCATACCTGTAAGCGCATGCCTGTGAAGCCAGAGATTTCTTGCGGATCATGGCATTGCCATGAGCAATATTAACAGCACCCCATTTGTAAAAGTTTGTGAGAATTGTGTTAGTTAGGAAAGCTGGAAATAAGGAGCAGGGCATTCGGCAGCATTCAGCAGATTCTTCAGCAACCAGTGTTGCATTCTACAGACCTTTTTTTAGCTTGTCTTGCCACACCAAAAATGTTCCACCCATAAATTGGATTATCAAGCTGACTACAAAATAAAAATATTGAACATCCACTGTTAGCTGTGATGCCTTACTGCAGCAAGACAGGGCAATATGGTCTTGGCACAACGCTAAGCCACTATGTCTCTTCTTCCTGGGGGAAAAAAACAGCAAAGAACTGTTTTTGTTTTTTTACAGTGAAAGCTGTGTGAGATCACAAAAAGGGTTGTGTGTGTCACAGTTATGTGCAGCCTGTAACCGCTATCTCAAGGAATGAGAAAAACAGCAAAGGAAAAACACCAATGACACAATGGGATTTGAACACGGGTCCCCTGCATGCCAGCTCGGCATTCTACCACTGAGCCACGCCAGTGGTTTTTTTTTTTTGGTATTTATTAAAGTACTTGGGCAATAAAGACAAAATCAAGCGAACAAAAGTACAATCAAATCGCGAAAGTAGGCGTTCAAGTGTTACTCATAAACACTAAATGGCTAACACAGCGCGAGTTCCTCACATGGAGAGTTCTTCACATCGTGTTATACAAACAAAAAAGGGGTGAGGTCAAACAGTTCTCTAAGACGGAGTACCATTCCGGTCTAAAGTCTAGCTCGTCGTAAATGTTTTTGATGTGGATAGCCATTTGAATGAAGTGAGCGCTTGAAGAGGTGGTGGGCTCTGCATTGCGGTCTTGCATTCGTGTCTTCCACAAGCTGTTCATACCCATGAGGAAAAACATATCATATGGTACTTCATCAAGCGTTGCTGGCAGAAGATAACGTATTGTGTGAGAATTAATGACGAAACGCTTTTTCAGTGCTCGCTGAAGGACATCCCAAAATAGTATGGCATCTTTGCAGCTAACAAAGCAATGTTCAATCGTTTCCGGCACATCACATAGACGGCAGTTAACAGACGGAATGAAAATACCTTTTCTTTCTAACCATGTGTTTACCGCCAATGTTTCAGAGTGGAGTTTATAGAAGAATGTTTTTGAATTCGGAGGAATGTACATTTTGCGCACTCGCTTCAACACATCGTGACCTGGAAGATAGGCGTACAGTGAACGGTACAATGGAGGGGGGAAGAGTGTACTCAGTAGGTCTTTATACAGCACCTTGCGCGATACTGTGTACAGGTATTCTACAGAGAAGCGAGCTTTAAGGAACTGAACTGCGAGGTAAACTTCCTGCATGAATCCCCACAAGCATGGGCGTTCGGAGAAGTTGGATGAAACAATTAAATCTGGTAAGCAATCAACAAGTGTAACCTGCAAGAAGGAACGGATTACAGGATGGGAATTGTCTCGAAAAAAGAAGAATTGGGACACTATTTGCCATAGATAAAGGTGTTTTAGTCCTAACCCACCCTCACTAACTGGCTTGAATATATTATCACGACGCATAGGCTCAAAAGTCGAAGACCATATGAAAGTAGTGAAAATCCGATGAAAGCGTTGTATATAGAATCTTGCGCAATGAATAAGTTGCAGTACATAGTAAAGTTTTGTCACTAAGAAAGTATTGCAAGCTTCAGCTCTCCCAAATATCGAAAGTCGATAGGGCACAAATGTCTTGGCCTGTCGTTCAAGCTTAGGGACGCGTTCCTTCCAGTAATGCGCACTGAATCTATATGCATGCAATGGTACACCGAGGTATGTTGGAGGAGTTCTTGTCCAATTAATCCCTGCAAAGTGGTTCGGTGTGGTACCCCACAAGCCAAACCGCGGTCCTAAACATTTAGAGGCATTTAAACGAGCTCCTTATACTACGCCAAACTTTTCAATAGTATATACCACATTTTCGACACTTGGTTTATCTGTGCAAAAGAATGCGACATCGTCTGCATAAGCCAATATTTTAACCTCACTGCCTAATATGCTAAAGCCACGAATGCAACTCGACTGTATTATGCTTAAGCACAGCGGTTCTAGATAAAGTGCAAATAAAAGAGGCGACATCGGGCATCCCTGTTTTACAGAAGAGCGAATAGAAACTGACTTGGAGAGTTGACCATTAACTATCAGACGAGTTGAGCATTCATTATAGCATAATTTAACGCCTTTAAGAACAACTTTGCCAACATTAGCTTGTTCGAGAAGAGAAAAAAGGAAGGAATGACGAACACGATCAAAAGCTTTTGCAAGGTCCACCTGTAGCATTGCAAGATGTTTTTGAGAACCATGACACTGACAGTATTAAAGCACTGTTCGAGCGACATGTATATTGGTTTGTATGGATCGACCTCTAATCCCACATGTCTGATGGGACCCAATGAGGATCGACATAGCAAATTGCAACCTATTTGCTAATACTTTTGCGAAAACTTTGTAGTCCACATTTGACAGCGATATTGGTCTGTAGCCCTCGACAAAGCGAAGTTTTTCCTTGTCAGTTGTTTTCGGTATTAACACAGTGTGACTTTTGCAAAAAGATTGTGATGAGTCATAACTCATCTGAAAAATATTCAGCAATATAGGAGCAAGCGTTTTCTTGAAAGCTTTGTAAAATTCGCCTGAGATGCCATCAGGCCCCGGTGTTTTCAATAAAGGCAAGTTGTCGATTGCTTGCTCGATTTCCTGTATAGTAATGGGCCCATTAATGACTGCACAATCATTGTCCTTCAAGGGGTTCACAAGAGAAACAAAACTAGCCTTGAGGTGAGCGTCAAGATCATCAGAGGGAGAGCTAAATAAGCTGTTATAGTACGTTTCGAACGCCAAAGTAATGTCTCCGTTATCTTTTATGAGCACATCGTTAAAGTACAAGTCTGGAATAACTTTAGAAATCGCATGGCGTTGCTCATCAAGTAAAGCTTGGCGCGTCGGTTGCTCAGAATTTAAAGTGCGCTGGTTCCGAGATCTAATACGTGCCCCTTGGTAGCGAGCAGCATCATATCTCTGTAGTTGGCACTTAATATTCTCAATATCTTTGATGTACTTTCCCGGCATTTCGCATTCTATCTCATAAAGATTGCAAAGACTTTTAACTAGTATCTTTTTATCATTCTTTCTATAGAAAGACTTAACAGCCCCAATTTCTAAAGCTATAGCACGAACTTCTTGTTTAAAAAGCTCCCAAGCAGCGAAGATATGAAAACCAATCGAAAAAGATTGCCTCAATGCCATCTGGACGCGATTCATGAATTCCTGATCACAGAGGAGCTTCGCATTCATTTTCCAAAGGGCCCACTGGGGACGGAATTGTTTGTGACGATTTTCACCAATTTGCGCTATGACAATACAATGTTCTGAGAATGATACAGCTTCGATG